ATCCTGCTTGTTAAAACTGAGAAGGACCTGAAGTGCTTGATGCAGAGGGTCAAGGACTGCAGCCTTAAATATGGATTGAGGCTCAAAGTCAAGAAGACAAAGATTCTCACCACTGGACCAATTAGTAGCATCATACTGGATGGTGAAGGTATTGAGAAAGTTAAAAGTGTTAGTTTATTTGGCTCCACAGTCAACACTCTTGGCACCAGCAGCCAGAAAATTAAAAGACATATTGCAATGGGAAAATCTGCTGTTAGGGACCTCTCCAAAGTACTGAGGAGCAATGGTGGCTCCCTGGAGACTAAGGTATGTCTGATACAGGCCATGGTCTTCGCAATCATTTGTTATGTGTCAGAGAGTTGGACAATGATTAGGGAGGATAGAAGGAGAATTGATGCCTTTGAACTGTGGTGCTGGAGAAGAGTATTCAAAGTACCATGGACTGCTAAGAAAACAAACAGGTTCATTCTGGAGAGGGTTAAACCAGGAGGCTCCTTGGAGGCAAGGATTCTGAGGCTTCGTCTGACATACTTTGGACATGTTGTAAGGAGGGTCGGTCCTTGGAGAGGGACATCATGCTTGGGAGGGTGGAGGGGCATCTCAGGAGAGGAAGACCCTCTATGTGGTGGATTGATTCGGTGACTGGGATAATCGGGACAGGTGTGTCAGAGACAGTACGATTGGCACAGGACAGAGCAGGGTTTAGGGTTGTTGTACATAGGGTTGCTATGAGTCACGAGCGACTCGAGGGCACTAACAACAACAATGTTGTTATTGTTAGGTGCTGTCTAGTCAAGTACAACTCACAGAGACCCTATGAACAACCAACCTGAAACCTACCCCATCCTGTGCCACCATCCTCATCTCTGAGACACTAGAGCCCATTGCTGAGGTCACAGTGTCAATCCATCTCATTGGGGCTCTTCCTCTCCTTTACTGATCCTCCATCTTTCTAAGCATGATGTCCCTTTCCAAGGAAGAGCCTCACCTAGCTACATGCCCAAAGTATGACAAATGAAGCTTTGTCATCCTTGCCTCCAAGGAGCATTCTGGTCACATCTTTTCTAGGATATATCTGTTTGTTCTTTTAGCAATCCATGTGATACACAGTACTCTTGTCCAGCACAACAACTCAAAGGGGTCAATTCTTCTTCTTTCATCCCTATTCGTTTTCCAGCTCTTTGACGCATAGCAAGTGACTGAGAAGACCATGGCTTGAATAAGGCACATCTTAGTCTTCAAACTCGCATCATTCATTATTTTGGAGAAGTCCCTGGCAGCAGACTTGCCCAGTGCAATATGTCTCTGGATTTCCTGAATGTTGGTACCAAGGGTGTTGATTGTTGATCCAAGAACGATGAAATAATTGACAGCTTCAATGTTTTCTCCATTTATTATAATGTTAAATCATTGGGACTGTGCTGAGAATCTTTGTCTTCCTGATGTTGAGATGTAATCCATACTTAAAGCTGTGGTCCTTGATCTTCTGCAGCAAGTGTTTCATATCTTCATTTTCAGCAAATAAAGTTGTTTCATCAGCACAACGTAGGTTGTTGATTTGATTTTCTCCAATCCTGTTGTCACACTCCTCTTAATAGAGTCTGGTTTGTGAATTATTTTCTCAGCATTTAAATTGAACAGATATGGAGAAAGAATATAACATTGTCACACATCCTTCCTGATCTTAAACTATGTAGTATTCCCTTTCTCTGTTATTACAACAGATTCTTGGTCTAAGAACTATATAGCTTCTATGAAGTTTTGTTGTTTTGGTTTTTTACTTATTAACATTTTATTTGCAAGCATATCATAATGGAACACATAAATGCATAACATAAATGTATTTTAGTTAACTAATCTCAAATAAGCAAAAATTTAACTTATTTATTGTCCTATATGGCAGTATAATTTCAGTCTTAAACCCCTTTCCTAACCTAAACTGGTAGAAAATTCCATATTATTTTCTACTGACTCAGGATTTTCCTGGGGGAGGGGTGAGTATGTCTGAATTTGGACTGACAGGACAGCTGAGCCTATGGAGGCAGCCTGTGCCCACCCCCACCCCCACCTCCACCCAGCCCATGGCTCTGGAGTAGAACCTTTAAAGCTATATCCACCAGTCAGTCCTAGGGGAGGCTCATTTCTCCCACTTGATCTCTAACAAACTTCTCTGAGCTTCCCAGGACTGGGTTTGCTGGCTCTTCCATTTTTCTCAGGGATTCACATTGCATTCTTGTAGCCTCTTATCACCTTGGGAGAGTACAGGAGGCCCCTTCAGCCCTGGCCCACACAACCAATTCTGGAAGACCTGCACAAAGCAGACCCCTCTAGGTTTCCAAATGGGGAGTGGAGCACTGGCTCTGGCAGCGGACAGTACACAGAGATGGGGGTGAGATTTATCAGTGGTGACCTGGTGGTAAGAAAATGTGCTGCAATCCTGAAAGCATAGGGCTCAAGGCCACCAGCTGCTCTGCAGAAGAAGGATGGGAAATCACCTACTATGTGGTTAACTGCCTCTGAAAACCTGTCGGAGAGTCAGCTATGAGTCAGTTTCAACTCGACAATACACAACAACAACACCACTGACCCCTTAGGGTCAGCCATGAGAGGAACAGAGTACAAGGCACCTTGGAAAGGATTTATGGATTTATACTGGCTTCTATTTCGCTACCTTGCCTCTAGTGACACCCTCCTCTGCGCCCAGAGATTCTTCCATAATTGAGGTCGAAGTCTCAACATCAGCAGACAGAGATGGGAATAAATTCTTTTGCACAGGTTGCCATGATACTAAACACTGTGACATTGATGTGTCACATGTGATAATGGTTATCCATGATGAACAGTGTTTGGTGGAGCTTCTAGATTAAAACAGGCTTGGAAGCAGGAGTGGCATCCACTTTCAAAATATCTTGCCTCCAAACACTCTAGGAACTTAGAGAAACGATGAAAATTATATAAGTGCTCAAGTCTGAAATACATAGGGTCACTATGCGTCGTCTACGACTTGATGGCACTTAAAAACAACAACCACAATACTGACTCTAAAATGACAACGCACTAGCAAAAAAAAAAAAAAAATCACAATGAACTCTTGCTACATGTACCATCCTCTGATCTTAACTTTTTATTTTTAGATACTTTAGACTTACAGAAAAGTGTCAAGAATGATACAATTTCCCTTACTCCTTAACTCAGACTCCTAAGGTAGTTAGAATTTTACAATTACTTTTTCATCCATTTTCTCACATTATTATTAAGTCATTGTCGTTTTCAGAAACCTCAGGTGCTCATTAAAGACATGATGCCCTTTCAGCTCTATACTCTTTACAGGGTATTTCCAAAGGACATTCTGTCCCATACTCACAGCACAGTTATGAAAATGAGAAAGCTAATAGTTAGAGAGCTCTGGTGACTCGGGTAAGGAGTTGTGTTACCAATCCAAAGGCATGTGGTTTGAATCTTTCAGCTGTTCGACAGAAGATGTGCACTGTCCTTCCATGCAATTTACTGACACTTAATGGTTCAGCTATGGGTCAATACCAATTCAATGGTACACAATGACCACAATGTGGACACAATACTTTCATTCACTTTACACACCTTATTTATATTTTTCTAATTTTTCCTTCACTAATGTTTAGGGGTAAGGGCTGAATTTAAGAAAAAAAAATCTCTGGGTTTTATTTGTAGGAAATAAAATTGTTTGATCTTGGTCTTTAAATATTAAAGCAAAGATTTGCCCATTTTGTTTCCCATTTTCCTCATATTAATCCCCTTACTGGTAATGGCAATGAGAACAAGGAAATAAGTCAGCATTTTTCTATGTCACTTCAAACAAGGTGAGGGCATTTTAAGTGCTTCCATAGCCCTTGGATCAGTGATTTCCATTAAACACTGCAAGTGTTAGTACAAACCACCAGTACTTTCTCAATCAATGCATATAAAAGTTTGCAATCCACCAACATTACTACTGAAATACTGTGCAGTAACTCTTCTAAAAGGATTAATGGTAGCATAATCATTGTACACTGCACTACTAACCAAAAGGCTAGGGAGTTCTGGTGAACTATGCTGCAATCCCAAAGTCATACAGTTCAAATCCACCAGTTGCTCTGTGGAAAAAGGATGGATAATCTCCTCCTGTAAGACTAAACCGCCTCTGAAAACCTGTTGGATGACTCAATGGTACACAACAACAACCAAAAGGCTGAGCAACTCTGGAAATTAGTGTGCCAGTGCTCCTCAGGAGAAAGATGAGCAAAGTCCTCTCATTAATTAAGATACAGTCTTGGAAAACCAATGGAGGGTTTTGCTATGAGTTCCAGTTAGCTTGACAGCAGTCAGTAAATCTTCTATGATCTGCATTTATTTTCTTGACATTGAGATACGATCCATATTGAAGACTGCAGTGCTTGATCTTCTTGTTGCAAGTTTTTCAAGCCTTCCTCACTTTTGACAAGCAAGGTTTCATCATCTGAAATTTATTGATGAGTCTTCCTCTATTCCTAAAGCCACATTTTTCATAGAGTCCAACTTCTCAAATAGGCTCAGCATGCAGATTAAATAGATACAGAGAAAGAAGAAAACCCTGACACACACCTTTCTTAATTTTAAAACATGTAATGTTCCCTTGTTCTGTTCACAAAACAGCTTCCTGGTCTGGGTATAGGTTTTATATGAGCATAACCAAGTGTTCTGGGATTCCCATTCCGCTCAATGTTAGCCATAACTTGTTACGATCCACACAATCAAATAAGACATTTGACTTTGCAATAATAAACAATAGCAAATTAATTGCTAAAGGTCATGAGTATCTCAAAGTTTAAAAACATTAACCCAAATTTCTAAAGGCCTTAGGAAAAATGTGCATTCTTAGTAATATTTTTATACAAGATAAATTCTATTTTTATACAAGATAAATTCTTATTAAAGGAACTCCCTTTTCATTCCTCTTCCCAGAGTTACTTTTCAAATGAAAGTAAAGCAGTGTGTGTACTCACCAGGCCTGCCTCCTTGCTTTGCAAGCTTGACATACTCTGAGTCTGTTTCTTTTATCCAGTATCTGCGAGCCCCAAAAACATTCCCATTTTGTGTGTCTCCAAGATTACTAAGTCCTGGGATCTGGGAAGCTGGAGGAGCATCCACAGGCTTCTCAGATCGCTTTACTGGCAGATGGTAGTACCAGTCTGCAAGAGTGGACAGGCAAAAGCAACAATGTCATTTATGTATTCAATGGATTAGAATACATCCATGTTTGTGAAAATGCTGGTAAGCTTTAAAATTGCCTTTGTGTCAACAATGCAATCAGGGCAATGCATGCCATAGAGTATGTTAGCAAGAGAAGAAACTTTTGGTCTTTTGAATATTGTTTAATGAGTGACAACAGTTGTAGTCATTTAACTAAAATCTGCTAAAACCTTCCTTAGAGAGCTCTGGCAGCAAAGGGTGGAGGGACTGTACTTGCACACAGTTACTGGAAATCCTAAGTAGTTCTGAGGGAGAAAAATAGGCAATCTCCTCCAATGCAACTTATAGCCTTGGAAACACAATAGGGTGTCAGCTAGGAGTTGATTCTGCGGGAAATGACAAAACCTTCCAGAATAAACTGCTAGCCCCAAGAGAAAGAGAAATAGCTTCCATCAATCTTTCCTGCTCTTTTCTCTCTGCTGATGCCAATTCTCAATTAGGTGCAACTTCATCGTTTTCATGATGCTCCAGCTTCCTCATTAGGCTTGCAAGCCTAATGTGTATATGTATCTTTTTAATCCTCCATAAAACTGAAATTTAACTTAATTTAACTGAAATTTAATTTCTTGTTATGTAGGGAAAGACATGTTCCTGAAAGAATCTCTGGGTGGTACAAATGATTAGCAAGCTCAGCTGTTAACCAAAAGGCTGTAAGTTCAAATCCACTCTGACATGTCTTGGGAGAAAGGCCTAATTGGCTACTTTCAAAAGAGCAGCCATTTGAAACTGATAAAGCACAGTTGACTTTGACACACTCAGAGTTTGCAAAGGTTAGAACTGATCCAGTAGCAACAAGAGGTGGTGCTGGTAAGTTTTTAAAAATATAATTTTCCAAACTTTATGAGTCCATAAAAGAGTTTTCCATACTTTATGAGGCCATGATATACTTAGTTGTGGTGGGATGAACTTTATTTTTAATGATCATCAAGTGGGCCCCGACACTTAGTGACCACTGTTACATGTGCAACATAATGAGACACTGAATACTGTGTCATCCTAACAAATGTTGATATGTATGCTTAAGACCATTTCTGCAGTCCATCTAATGACCTTCCTCAGCAAATTGCTATTTCCTGATTATGTACCCAAAGCAAGAAAGGCAAAATCTTGCCATACTCATTCTTGATAACTTTAATGAACTAAAAACACTGAATTTTATTTTTTTTAAAAAGGTAATAGTAGTCATATTGACCACTTTTACCATCGTGGCAAGGGCACAAAGGCAGAGGACTGGGGCACTGTCATAGACCTCATCTACCAAACAATTTTATTTTAGCCCACCCCCTACGCTGTGCCTCATCACCCCATAGGCTGTGAGGAAAGTAAAGCCTCTTGTTAAAGTCAAATTTTCTCTCCAAACAAACATCCCTCACCATCCATGTGCTGAGGAACACATTACATGTGTGTATGTGTGAGGTGAGAGCTGGACATCATAAGAAGTTAAAAGTGAAAAGCTAACAAAGGGATAAGTAGTAACCTATCTGCTGAAGTAAAGCTTAATTTGTCAAATCTTAGCTTACCAGGGAATGTGATGTCCAGGGCTGGCAGATTTGGAGGAAGCATAGCGAGCTCCTTCCTTCAGGAGCCAGATGCAGTTCCAGGACTGTGGCATGCTGCATGTATATAAATCTGTACAAGTTGGCACCACACTCTAGGTGGGGCACTGCTCTTCCTAACTCTGCCAGTCACTAGATTTGGTTGGCATGCAAAGTACATACTGCCCTTGTCTTCAAAGACGGAGGTGAAGTTTTTAGCAGGACATCAACCCATCATTTTTTTCCATCCCAGTTATTATTCTGGTACACCCGTATTTCACAAACTGGGATTCACTTTGGTTTTGCTCTGTCAGCCATGACTGAACAAAGAAAAACTGGTTCAAAAGGAGACAGTGAATGGAAGGGCAAACTAGCTTTGCTGGGGTAGTGACATGCTACGGGAAGCCATATTTTGTTGGATCATCTTTTTTTAGGAAATAGGAACAATATGGATTTCTTCCAGTTAGTTAGCCAGGTAGCTGTCTTCCAGACTTTTTAGCACATATTAGTGAGCACATCTAGAGCTGCATCTGTTTATTTAAACATGTTAAATAGTCCACTAATTTCTGAGGTTTTCGTTTTGGGTTTTTTACCAATGCCTTCAGTGCAGCTTTAACTTCTTCCTTCCTTATTCTTGGCTCTTGATTATATGCTATTTCTGAAAATGATTCCGTGTGGAACAATTCTTTTTTTGATACAGAGAATCTGTATATCCCTTCCATCTTCTTTTGATGCTTCCTGCATCATTCAAGATTTTTGCCCATAATAGGGAGGGGGTAGGGTATAAAATGTGTATCCACACATGAATTAAAACCAATGTTCTGTAAACTTTCACTAAAATCACAATTAGAAAAAAATTTAAAAGAGATTTTTGCCCATAGAATCTTTCAGGATTACAACTCAAGGCTTGAATTTGTTCTTCAATTATCTCAGCTTGAGAAGTAATGCTGAACATGTTCTTTCCTTTTGGTTTTCTGACTGAAGTTTCTTGCACATTTCCTTATAATACTTTCCTTTCTCTTCTGGAGCTGTCCTTTGAAATCTTCTGTTCATCTCTTCTACTTCAGCACACAAATGGTATACTTATAATAACCAATGTGACTTGGTATATTTAGTAAAACTCACTATTATTTACTGTCACAACCTCATGAAGTTCAGACTCTAACACTATTCCCCCCTCACCATGGGTGCACATCAGGACAAGTAGCACAGAGTTGTTCCATAAACAGGAGTTAATCACACATTAACCATTAACCAAAACACTTAGATTTAAACTCTACTTAGAACTGTAGTTATGCTCACAACATTAAAAAAAATTCTATTTGGCATGATAAGTCTTATCAATATAATCAACTCAACTTGCACAATGCCATTTTAAAAAGAAATAAAACACATTGGAAAACAAAATAAAACAAAAACCCACCCTAGATCCCTAAAGAAATGGACAATGGATCTAAAGGAATCAGATTAATTAATAGCAAGAGTTTAGCAGCTTCATATTCTGATCATATTCAACTGAAATACTTTCTCTTACAGAGCAAGGGTGTTAGATTCTTGTTCGCTTTATTTTGTCCCTCTACATGTTTTGATTACTAATTAATCCACAGAGAAAAGTGCATTTCTACATCTCCTCATTACTGGGAGCTTCGGGGTGCACCAAACTCTTAGCCAAAGAATCTCAAGAACTAGTTTAGAATGCTACCTCCTAACCTGAACTATACATCCACACCGAGTTAAAAAAATACATAAAGAATCCTCTTTTAGCCTTTAAGCACTCAAAATGAGAAGCTCTTGTATGGCACCAGGTCATTCACAATCTTATTCCCCCTTCTCTGCATTCTCATATACTAAGCAGCAATACCTTTGTTTTATAAATGAGTAAACAGAGGTCCAAGAGACTAAGAAATCAGCTGACACTGTCTCAGCAGGAATTGCCCCTCCCTTTTCTGGGTCACGTGGCAGTCGGCTGTGAACCAAGGGGACTCATAGCAAAGGGGTTTGAAGGAGATTCAACCTCCTGAAACCAAGGCTAGAATGTGGTTGTGTTGCCACACTGTCACCTGTTAAGTGTGTGACCTTGTGCAAGTGACTAAAGCCCAGTGTTTCCCTTTCTTCATCCAGAAAACAGGGCAAAATATACCTCCCAGGATGGTTAAGAGGGCAAAACGAGTTAGTACACAGTGCATAGAATGGATAAGCTCTTGTTAATGTCATTTTACAGTTACAAACATTAATACAGGCCTAGAAGTCGCATGCCAGCGTCAGAGCACACGGTGAGTGAAGAGACAGCGGCTCTTGGGTCTGCGCTGCCCTGTTCCCCCAGGACCTGCATGGCCAGAGGCATCAACAGTCAGTTCTAAGTCAGGTGTTCTCTCTCCCTGCAGAGAGAGAGGTGCTCTTCCCTGCCTCTGAGCAGAAGAACAAGGACGCGTTCTGTGTCCCTCTCCCCAGTTTCAGACCTAGCAGCTCACTACTGCATAAAACGTTGTTGTTGCTATTTATCCGACCCCACGCTGACCCTCCAGCGGGTTTTCAGAGGCATTAAATTGCACAGGAGAATACCCATCCATCTTCCGCTGAGCAGCTGATGGATTCGAACTGTATACCTTTGAGTTGGCAATGAAGTTCCTTACCCCTAGACCGTAGTGAACAGAAATGCACTCACTTCTTGCACCGAATAAATAGCTTGTGCTTAAAATAGGAAAAAGAGTTCACTTCGTCGGGGGTCTAAATTGGGAGTAAGATAGAATAAAATGGGCCAGGATACAGCTGAAAAAGAAATCTCTGAAGTCAAATTGAAGAGGGGGGATCTGTGACAAGGATATAGACAAAACCCACTAGCACGGAATGTGCCCTGCCTAAAAGCGATTCTCTGTAGGTAATCTTAACTTAGCCAGGAGACTGTCCACTCTGTCGGTTAGCAGCGCAAAATGGCAGGTAGTAAGCCACCAGAGCTAGGAGCCAAGGATACAGATAGTTATTATAATGAAAGTTTTAAAGAATCCTATTAAGCAATGGAGGCAACAATAAACACCATCGGTTTTCTCGTGCTAAAAATAGACTAATAAGACTCATCTTTAAGTACTCCTTTCATGTTTGGGTTTAACATCCTGATCCCTTCTGGCACAGGAGCACTTGCGTAGGTTTCCCCCCACCCCGTCCACACTCGCACAGACGCTGGATTCGACAGCAGGCCAGCCACTAAAGCACATAGCCTCAGCTGCTTAGGAACTCCGCACCAGTTCCGCAGGACAGGTACTCACCGCAGGGTGCATAACGATTAGGGACGCCTTGTAGCTCTTTGCTGGTGTTCCTCATGGCTGAAGTCTGCGAGCGCTGCTCAGAGAAGAAACACCAGGAGCAGAGTAACCAAGGTGCTGGCCCACACTGACAGCCACTACAAACACCACCTGGATGGGCGCTCCCTGCTCTACTCCAGACCACGTGCAGGCGTTTCACAGCCCACAACCTGCTTACGCAGCGTGCTGCGTATAAACAGCGGCAATAGATAACAGCGGAAAGTGTGAATGTCCACCTGTTTCCCGGTTCTATCTCCTTTCCGGTACTCAAAAGGTGCACCTGATTCAGAGGCCCCGCCCAGCCTACCAAGTCGTCAAAGGGTTTCGGTGAAGACCGCCCACGGGGCCCTAAGCTGAGGAAAGAGAAGGCAAAACCTAAACTCAGTGATCCAGCTGCCAAACAACATGCATTGCCTAGGCAACACCAGTCAGAAAGCTGGCGGACTCAGAGGCCAATCCAGAGGGACCTGGGGAGCCACTGCCAGCTAATCATGGACGGGGGCGGAGCGAGGGCTCTGCTTGTTAACCAATTGGGACAGGGCCTTCTGGGAACCTGTTGAGGGCGGGGCCGTGCTGCTGTTAGTGGGCGGAGCCGGAGCAGAAGTGAGGCAGAACCAGAGTTGGCGGGGTCACCTAAAGGACCCTAGGACTAAAACCAAGGACTATGAAATTCATTACAGAAAAGCTAGGAACAAC